ACCAATAGTAAATGGATATCCGGATAAATTCAGATATGGATAAATGGATGACGGATTTATCCGGATTGGACCTCTACCTTAAAAATATATAGTCATTTAAATTTAAATATACTATACATTTTTTTCTAAGATTAGTTTTTATCAGTTATAAAATCGTTTAACCAAATAAAAAATTTTTCATAACTCCGGGCTGAATTATGTTGATCATGGGCCAGGACAACTTCAATGCCAGCTGAATTAATCAATTAATACGATTAAACAAAGAAAACTTTAGGCGGTTCAAATTCCTATACAAAACGAACAATAATAAATTATCTATTTGCAAGCCAAATTCTAATTATTAAATATGCTTTCAAATACAATAATAGTAATATATCTCATTTTAAAATATTCTATATTGAGTAATGCCTTCGATAATAAAAATTATATTAGCTGATGATGGCATTTGTCCAATAGCAACACGTGTACATATCACATTTGCCTTTTTCAAATGACCAAATGTCAAATGACTCGTACCAGGTCATTTGGTCATTTCAAGTCACTGCTACAATATCTATTTATTAACTTTTTCAAATGCCTATAAAATGTAGAATGCATTCCAATATGGAGATAGGAAGTATACCAAATCTTAGATTAAGCTGAAATTTTTTGATACGCATAGTCACATTTTATCTTCAGAAGAGAGCTTTTTTTTTTTTTTTTGTTAATTTCTTGTATAGTTTTTTTTTTTTTTTTTTAATATCTTCAACCTTTTATCTCAAGGATCTTTTCGAATCGTCCCTTCTATTGATGATGAAACTCATATTATATTGGTATCATCTTCTATAAGTAATTTATGATGTTGTTGTCCTGGCAGTTCTATATGCAATGTTTCATACGTCTATGGAACAAGTACAGACTTTTTTTGTTGATTTTCGCATTGAAATAATTTTTATATTTTTCTAATAATTGAGATAATGTGCCATATATACGTTCTGTTATCTTTTCTAAGATTCAAAATATGCATAAAACACATAACAATTGTGGCTTTCTGAAGAGAATTTCTTGTAATTTTTTCAAGAGTCTGGTTTTCTTCAAGATATTTAACATTATAATCATCCATGGTTGTAAATTGTTTCTTTGCTGGAAAGAACTGTATATGTTGCTCTCAAGCTTTGCAACTGCTTTTTTCAAGTACTCAATGTTCAAACGGATCGACGCTGTCGAATTGCTGAGGAGACTACAGTTGACAGAATCATTTCGATGATTATTAAAAATTTTAAAAAAAAAGCAAAACATTTGACAAAACTAATATCGCATTGCAAAATTTAATAGAATCCGGTTGTTCACTAAATCAGAAATGACAAACTATAGATTTGGCAAAGTTAATGATGTCTTCTCAAGAACTATTATCTGTATTCCTTTTTCTTTAATTTAATAGCATTCAACTTTCATTTAAAGAGGATTCGGTACAGCTTTATGATTTACATTTCGGATTCAATGATAATAAGTTAAATAAGTAGCATTAGCAAAGCTAATAGTGCCTTAACTATGTAGAATGAACATTAGGAACGTCCTGTTCTGATTTACGTAATTGCATAAACGATCATCTTCACCATTAACGATGAGTGATTAATCTTCTGATTTAATCAAATGCCCGATTCGTATTTTAACTACAATAGGAATGTATTTCAGCCAAAGCCTACAATGTGGATGCAAGTTCTGCAGAACTAATGTACAATAGGAATGCCATTTCTGCAGAATCTTTCTGGATTTTCACATCACATAAATACGTAATACCAGATCTTTCTCAAAGTTGATGAATCATCAAAAAAAAAAAGACAATTTCTATAGAACTTTCGGAGTTTCATATCGCATAAATCAATGTCATTATCAATAAATAAATAATAAATAAATAAATAAATAAAAAAACGTTAAATTTTTTATTTGTTTTTTTTTTTTTTTTAACGATATAGAGGACAAAATGGCGAAAAAAAAGAATGATAACAAAAAGAAAAATAAAAATAAGCAAAATGCAAAGAAAAATAACAAACAAAATGAAAAATCTTCTATCAACGATACAATTCCGCAAAATGACGATGTTGCGACCTCGGTTAACAGTAATTCGGATAAAAGTTTAAATATTAACAGCGACCCTATTGTTGTAAAAGATTTAGAGCCTATTGCTACCGCTGCTAACAGTAATTCCAACGAAAATTCTAATATTGTCAATAACTTCGTGCAAGTTTCAAGCTTTACTACTAGTAACAGTAGTTCTAATACTACAAACGATAATTCTAATTCTAAGCTAGATTCAAGTTCTAGTAATTATAGTTCTAATTCTGAGCAGGATTCAAATTCTACTATTGGTAACGATAGTTCAAATGATAGTCCCAACGATATACAAAATTTCAATTCTACCGAAAATGACTTTTCTAAGCAAAACTCAAGGTCTGATAGTGATGATGATAATCTTAATTCAGAGCAAAATTCAGATGCCATTGGCAATTCTAAAGATAGTTCTAACGATAAGCAAGACTTAAATTCTACTCTTTGCAATGATGCTTCTAAGCAAAACTCAAGGTCTGTTAGTGATGATGATAATCCTAA